CCCTGATACCATAAATGAGTATGGTATGTAACTATTGCTTTGATGTAGATGTATGTGCCAAAACTCAGCAGGAGATTGGTCCCAGAGAGGGCTTCAGTCAACATAATCTACTTTTAGTAGACTTCATGTCTGCAAAGATCTTCAGTTCTTTGTGATAAGCGGCCATTTTGAGCACATCAAAGAGTTCTTAAACAGTACTCAATAAACAGGAGGTCTGTTGCATCCTGTTGTTATCTTACCACTCGTAGATAGTAAACAATGCTTGGAGGTAAGTGAATGGGTCACTGTTCTCTTGTAAACATGGGCAGAGTCATGTGGTGAACAAGATTTGGAGTATTGACATTCCAATCCAAGTTACTGCTACATCATTCTGTTAGTGTTGTGCATGTTTACAACCCTGCACAACCCAACATACTCTGTCATGTGTAATAATGACCACTGCAGTCTTTATGTGCAGCTCAAGACCTCACAGACCCTGCAGAGACCATCTATGTTCTGGATGTTTTTACATCAGAGGAGTTTTCCTTCAGTGTGAAAGAAACCTCAGAGAAAAAACCATGAACAAACTAGAAAAGACCAACAACTGGTGAATGACGTCAACGGTGGTTTTAGTTAATCACCAGTAAACACTTGACACCTTCCTTCCATGATAAAAAGGCAAAGTAAAATTAAGTTCAATTCTTCTACACAGATTGTTTTATTGTTGCGCAAAACTAGAATTAATTGTTTTCAACAATAAATTTGTTCCATGTTGATCATCTTTGAAGAATCTCAACAGTCTGAGTCCAGAGTTACACTGTGTGCTCACATTTAGCTGATTGGTTTCCTACAGCTAAATGTTTACAGAAGTTTATCTTACATTTCTGTTTCTCACAAGCCTGACTAAATGCAGAAACTTATTTATATAAAATAAAGCTGACAGCTCCTTGATCTGTGTTGAACTGATTATTTGTGCACAACTTTGTTTCATCCACAGAAGGTGTTAGAGTAATCTAAACTAAATTATCAGAAAACAGCTACCAACCACTTCCTGTTCTCAGAAGCTCCTCAGCAGCAGCAGCTAAAGCTGATAGTAAAGTTCAGTCTGTCTCTCACTGTCTGAGGTCATCATGTTCAGCTCAAAGCAAACAGCTCTGCTCTTCATTCAGCTCATAAAACTAAGGAGTCTCTGTGCAGGTATGGATGTTCATGTTTAGTGTATAGTTCTTAAATTGTTTATTTTTTTTTAATATTGATTTGTTTTCTTCATTGTCAGCGCCTGCAGTAGATGAGTACAGAGAGGTGCAGGTGACCAGAGGAGAAACAGTCCTGTTCACCTGCAACACGTTTGAGACAGATTTAATAAATATCAGATGGACTCATGGCAGATTTAGGTTTTTTCATTCCTTCAATCAGAACAAAACTTTTTTTAATTTTTGTTTGAGCCGTCTCATAATAGACAATAACACTCCAACCACTCTACGTATTGTAGATGTTCAACATGATGATGCAGGACTGTATACATGTACAATAACTCATATACTGGGCTTCAACAATAAAACATGGAATTTAACAATAACAGAGAAACAAGGTATGTAGAGCAAACAGCTTCACTGATCATTTCTATATCTCATACAGAACAGTTCAGTGTTTNGTCATGTGGATGGAGGACCTCAGTGACGAGAGGAGAATGTGTAGCACTGAGCTAATACATATATATGGTGATAGCATCAGGGCTAACGCTAAAGCCAGGATTCCCACGGGTCCTTGAAATCCTTGAAAGTTTGTGAATTTGAAAAAAAATAATTTTAAGGCCCTGGAAAGCTTGTTAAAACGGCCAAAAATTACACTTATCCTTGAATATATTTTGGGGATTGAAGTATTCACACGACTGATTTTCATCATCTGTAAAAAAATAAAAAAAATAAAAATAAAACACATTTGTTGCGATGGATAACTCAGGATTACAGTAAACTGACGTGGCTTTCAACAAATACCATGAGTCATAGTCTTAGTTTTATCCAATCAGAACAGAGCAGGGCGGGTCTTTCTGAGCCCAGGTGAAGCACCACAGCTCCTCCTGTCCTCAGTGTCTGGACATGTTCACATCCCCTCCTCCCAAACTGAGCAGCTGAAGCTCCAGGACATGATTACATGTTGTAGATATGAACGTAGGGTAAACATTTAATCCACTTTCTTTCATTGATTCTGACTCAACTTCTGTCTTCAGTCTTTCATTGAATTTACACAGTATATTAAACCATCCTCATTGACAGTCTATCACATATTGGTATTTCAGACACACCCCTTAACTGGTTTATTTCACACCTTTCTGGTCATACACAGTTTGTTCAACTAAAATCTTTTTCATCCCATTCAACCTCTCTCTGTTCTGGTGTTCCACAAGGTTCTGTCCCCGGCCCTCTTCTTTTTATCAAACCTCCTTCTGATTGGAAATATTTTCCGTAAACATAACATCCAATTCCACTGTTATGTGGATGACACTCAGCTCTATCTGTCCATCAAACCCAATGCCACCCTCCCACCCACCTGACTGCCTGTTTGATATCAGGTTCTGGTTCACAAGCAACTTTCTTAAACTAAACAGTGACAAAACTGAATTTCTTCTCATTGGAACTAAATCCACCCTTTGCAAAAACCAACAACTTTTCTATTCTCATTGACAGCACCTCAACATCCCCCATCCCTCAGGTTAGGAGTCTGGGTGTCATCCTGGACAACACATTATCATTTAAACCTCACATCAGCAACCACTCGTTCAGCCCACTTTCACCTCTGTAACATCGCTCGTCTCCGTCCATCCCTCTCACCCAAGCAGTACTGCTATACTCATTCACACTTTGGTCACATCACGGCTGGATTATTGCAACGCCCTACTTTTTGGTTTACCAGCAAAATCTATCCATAAACTACAACTGGTCCAAAACTCAGCTGCTCGTATCATCTCCAGAACCCCTTCCAGCAGTCATATAACACCTGTCCTAAAGCATCTTCACTGGCTCCACATCAAATTTCATATTTCCTTTAAAATCTTGCTCATCACCTTCAAAGCCCTCAATAATCTTGGCCTCAGTATCTCGCAGAACTTCTCCACATTAACACACCTTCCCTCAGGTCCTCATCCTCCATCCAACTCACTCAACACCAGCTCATCTGACCACTATGGTTCAAGAGCCTTTAGTCACTCAGCACCCCACCTCTGGAACTCTGTCCCACCAGACATCAAAAATTCTCCTACCGTCTCCATTTTTAAATCACAGATTAAAACTCTTCCCTTTAAACAGGCTTATTCAGTTTATTCAACATCTCCTATTAACCTTACTTTTTTAGGATGTTTTGTTTTATACAATGTTTTATTTGTTAAATGTTATGTAAACTATGATGTCTTATTGTTTTTTATTCTATGCTTTATTCTTTTGTTTTATTGCATTGTATTTACATTGTACGGTGTCCTTGAGTGCCATGAAAGGTGCCTTCAAATAAAA